TTTAGTTCCAATGGGTGAGAGAGTGGAGTGAGCCCAAAGTGGGGCTCCCCTCTTGAAGTCAGTCTTTTGGGGGCCACTTCTCTGCAGGTCATGTCAGAGGCAGTGACCCTGTATGCCAGGGGGATGGTACATCACCAGCTCAGCAAGACACCGCTCTCCGCAGAACTGCCCCTACCTAGAGCCCATCATTTCTAATGGACTAAAGGAGCTGGTACCTTTAAATTCCACAGAAAGGGAAGAAAAAGCACTTTAGTTTCAGTCCATGTTCTCCATTAGACACCCTTCAGGTGTTAGCAATATTATGCCACAATTTCATTATCCATTAAAGCCAGGTAATAATAAGTACACAAAGGTATTTGGAGCCTATTGATGTTAATGAAAGAGATCAATCTAATTCAGAATGTGTGTGTGGAGAGCTCCTTGGAGATGGAATAGGCCCCAAGGTTAGCCTCTAATTGCCTCCTTGATGGTAGACCCTACCAGTACTCAATTTTGCATGACCGTCTTTATGACATAGTTGGAATTTTGACGCCCAGACTCACGCTTCATACAGAAGCCCATTTTCCTCCTCTCCCAAGCCCCTCCCAACATTCCCAATTCAGAAAGGACGGGCAAGTTGCTGCCATTTAAGTAAGATCCTTGTGCAAGAGTGAGAGTTTCTTGGATTTAGACCATGGATCGAGCTGGTTTAGCAGAAAGTCCATGATTCCCGGATTACTCAAATGACCCTGGAGGGTTTCTAGGGGTCCAAATTCTCTCTTTCTCTCTCTCTGGAGTGACTTGTAGAGCTTAGAAGGATCTTCTATCAAGTTTATGAGTGGCATTCAATCAATATCTCAACAAAATTAATCTACTCTAATCTAAAAAGAAAAATTACATCTGAAAAATAGGATATATAAAGCATATTTCTTTCACAAACGCTCCTCTTCATTTTTCTAGGAGTCTGCTGTAGGTCCCCCAATTCCTGCTCACATGAGCATTTACTTCATGAGAGGATATCTGGGGTCGGGGCTCACTTTAATTCCCACAGCTGTCTGCCAGTTTCCATCCAATGCATGCATGCTAAGTCACTTCAGTCGTGTCCAACTTTTTGCAACCCCATGAACTGTAGCCTGCAGAGTCCTATGTCCAAGAATATTGGAGTGGGTTGCCATGTCCTCCTCCGGGGGATCTTCCTGACTCAGGGGTCAAACTGGCCTCTCTTATGTCTCCTGCATTGGCAGACAGATACTTTACCACTAGCACCACTTGGGAAGCCCTTGCATCCAGTAAGAGTTCTCAGGTACAATTTCTACCTCCTTACACTTCTACCGTCATTCTTTAGAAAACAAAAAAGAAACAAAACACTGCCAGACATGGGCTTCCCTGGTGGCTCAGTGGTAAAGAATCCACCTGCCAATGCAGGAGACCCAGGTTTTATCCCCGGTCTGGGGAGATCCCACATGCTACAGAGCAACGAGGCCCATTCACCACAACTATTGAAACTGCTTTAGAGCCTGTGAGTTGCAACTTTGGGAGCCCAAGCACCCTAGAGCCCGTGCTCCACAACAAGAGAAGCCACAGCAACGAGAAGCCCAAGCGCACACCAACCAGAGTAGCATCCACTCAGCAACAAAGACCCAGCACAGCCATAAACAAATAAATTAAATTACTTTTTAAAAAAGCACTGCCGTACAGAAATTGAATGCTCATTCTGTTTCTGGGAACCAGCGCCTCCAACAGTGTATTGAAGGAAGCCTCCCCTCCCGTGGCCACTGGCTCGGGCACCAGACTGCACACAGATGTGCCTCTTGCTCTGGGCTCCCTGTGGAATGCAGCCTGACTCCAAGGTGTCAGCAGTGCTCTCTGATCAACAACACATGTCCTGGAACCACAGATACGATTGCACGTTAGCAGGAACCAACTGGCACTCAGAGCATTTGATTCAGTGTCAGCGGCAGCGTGTACATCAGGCCTAGGCAGAGCGTGTATTTATATCTTTGTTCCTCCTTTTGCCGTATCTGTCCCCAACCCTGTGCTGGGCAGCCCAGATGGGGACCTAGCAGGTGATTAGATTAAGAGGAAGCTGGCCTTTTACTGTCAGGACCCTGGTGGGTCCAATGTGGGCAGGAAACTGGGCTCTGAATTTCACATCATTGCCTAAAGGTTGTTGAAGGACACCAGAGTGACTTGACTGCTCAATTCAGAGTTGGATGTCTGGCACGGAGTAAGAGAACATGAGCCATCACTGTGCGCACAGTGGGAACGGGGGAGCCGTGGAGGCTGAGAGAGGTCAGAGGGTGAGGAACTGACCTGGAGAGTCACTCAGTCTACTTTGTCTTCCAGAGTTGCAGGACTTCCTGAGTCCAGCTCCCTGCCTCACCAAGCACGATCTGTGACTCTTCTCAGGATTCTACTCCCCAGGACCAGGGAGGAAGTTCAGTTCAGTTCAGTCACTCAGTCGTGTCTGACTCTTTGAGACCCCATGAATCGCAGCACGCCAGGCCTCCCTGTCCATCACCAACTCCCGGAGTTTACTCAAACTCATGTCCATCGAGTCGGTGATGCCACCCAGCCATCTCATCCTCTGCCGTCCCCTTCTCCTCCTGCCCCCAATCCCTCCCAGCATCAGGGTCTTTTCCAATGAGTCAACTCTTCACATGAGGTGGTCAAAGTATTGGAGTTTCAGCTTCAGCATCAGTCCTTCCAATGAACACCCAGGGCTGATCTCCTTTAGGATGGACTGGTTGGATCTCCTTGCAGTCCAACGGACTCTCAAGAGTTTTCACCAACACCACAGTTCAAAAGCATCAATTCTTCGGCGCTCAGCTTTCTTTATAGTCTAATTCTCACATCCATACATGACTACTGGAAAAACCATAGCCTTGACTAGACGGACCCTTGTTGACAAAGTAATGTCTCTGCTTTTTAATATGCTATCTCGGTTGGTCATAACTTTCCTTCCAAAGAGTAAGCGTCTTTTAATTTCGTGGCTGCAATTACCATCAGCAATGATTTTGGAGCCCAAAAAATAAAGTCTCCCACTATTTCCACTGTTTCCCCATCTATTTGCCATGAAGTGATGGGACCAGATGCCATGATCTTCGTTTTCTGAATGTTGAGCTTTAAGCCAACTTTTTCACTCTCCTCTTTCACCATCCCCCAAATAACCTACCATAGCCCCCACGGCAACAGAACCCTGGGAAAAGCTCCCAGAACAAGAAATCAGTTCACTGCCCTCTCCGCCGGCCTTCAGCATAAACCCTGAATGGAGAAGCAGCGTGGCAGGGAAGACAGCAAAGAAACGCGGACCTGTTCCATGGGATTCAGGGAAGCCTCTCCTCCCTTTAACAATATTTTATGCCTGTGTTCATCATATTTAAAATGCAGCTAGACACAGAAAAACTTGACCACCGTTGAGAAGATGATATTTAGGGTAGAGGGTGACATGTAACTACAAATAGTGGCTGCTCTATGGAGAGAGCGGGGGCGAGTGTGTGTGTGCGCGCACTCCCACCCTCTGGTTTACCTGCCCCATCTCCGTCTTTGTTTTTCTCCTGCGTGCGGTGTAGGTAATGGTGTGTGCAGTGTTCTCCGGAGCGCTTGGTAGGTGACTGTGTTCCACCTTGCACGTGCTACTCCCTCACATTTCCTTTTAATGCTCTCCATTATTCGGGCTGCATTAATAATGTTTGCAGGCTGATATCTTTAAAATTAATGAGGTGTTTACTCTGAGCCAAGAAACTCATTGAAATTAAAAAAGCTTTCTCCCCCCCCCCCCCTTTCCCTAGGTAAAAAAGTGGACAAACAAGCCACAATGTAAGCTTTGCTAAAAAACCAAGTAGAAGAGGCAGGGCTCAAGCCCTACCACAAGGAAGGCGTGAATTGGGATAGGCTGGTGCCCAGCATTATACATCAGTCAGGTTCAAATCACAGCTGTATTTAAGAGGCCTTGTTTTAACAAGTGCTTTACTAGAAAACTGCATACCACACCTTTTAACCAATGGAGGGCTTCTGTGCCCTCAATAATTGCTTCTTTCACCACCACCATCCTCCTTAGCAGGTAATTATTCATTGTAACCACAGCACCTTAGTGTAGTCTAATTTCTTCCTGCTTTCTCAAAAGGTTTGTTTCTAGGAGAATTCAGTTGTGCTTAATCCTGACCTGTCTGTAGTCTCTAGCTTTCAATCAGATTACCTGGTCTGAAGGGCCCTCCCATCCTCCAGCTACCACCATCACTAGCTGACTTTGTGCAGAAAAGCAGGGTTGAACACGAATGACAAGTCTGCTGGCTGCAGACACTTGCTGCAGACCACAAGTCAGGATGGTTTGCCGGGAGGGAAGGGGTAAAGCAGCGGGCTTCACTGTCCTGCTCCCTGCTGCCCCCTCCAGGCACCTAGGGGACGCATTTCCCCAGGAACAATGCAGACAGAAGCATTTCTGGTGGTGCATCTGAGAAGTTTGGGTTCTTATCAGGTCCTTGCTGAGCAGCTGTACTTCTCAGATCTGGAAACCACCAGTGGTCTCTGAGGATCCTGCTGGTGACAGGTTAGCTAATCCCTCAAGTTACTTAAGTTAATAATATGATAATTTTATGCATTTGCATCTGGAATGATTAATAATTTACTTAATGTCACATAGGACATTCATATTGAAGAGACATTTTTCTCCTAATTTTGGTTGCTGTTGTGTGTGGGTATATTTTTCTTTCTCAGTAGCAATTAGAAGTGAGGATGTTATATGTGCTGAAAGGCTTGAGGATTCCTGCTGCAGTGACTGGTTCAGGGCTCTGTGTCTGGAAACCATCCTCTTTATATTCATGTATGGAATCGCTCCAGCGGGATCCACGGCTGAACCTCTGGTCTCAGATGCAAACGGATGTCTGGAGCCATCTGAATCAGCTGTGCTTAGGTGATGTGAATGAGAAGATGCAGGAGAGCAGAGAGTGCTCAGCCTGATAGGGAAGGTGAAAGACTGCAGAGAAGTGGGCAACAGGGACAGGAAGAGGGGTGGAACCTACATTGAACTGAATCTGTGCAAAATCTCCAGCACTGTTCTGCAGGATGCGGTAGGTCGAGGACACAGAAAGAAGTTCCCACTCACTGTCATTCAAAAATGCCTTTTGGTCATGTGTAATGTCTTCTGTGCTCCTCAGGAAGGCCAGGTCTACATCTTCCACTGAAAATTACAGAAACAGTTGATTTCCCATAGAAAAGGGCACCAAAGACAACCCACTTTTCTAATTCCCAATTCAAACCCTTCCTTTTTATTCTTGCTCCCATATTGACAGTCTTACTGAGATGGGGTTCAATATACCAATTTGAATTAGGGGTAATGATGAGGAACAAAAACTTTCTGGTCATGAAAAAAAAAAGCAGCTATGAACTTAGGGTTTGCACGCCATTGTCTATAGAATGAGAATTCTGTAATGTTGTCAATGGCATTGGAGGTCTAATATTGTGTTTTCAAACCAACAGCAGCAAGGGGCCTATCTCTGGGCACAATACTGTGGTTAGTCTGAATTGCAGCAGGAGCCAAATAACTGCAAGAAGATTTTAGATTTATAAAAGGTCAGTTATATGCAAAAATAAAATCAACTGAGGGACTACATAACATAATTTCACCTTTGTATGCCCACCCAGCACAAGTGTGTTTGCCCACTAGCAGACTACACCTCTCATGACTTACCTGTGTGCAGAATGCTACTGAAGGTTAGGCTGCAATTCTGGACATCAAATGGAAAAGCATATGTCTCCAAATTGCATGCAGAGACCACCTGGATGGGCTTGGAGTGTTTAATGGTCCCAGATGAGTTCACATAGACATAGGGAAGGTCAGGTGATTTTTCAGTGTCCACACTGTGTGAAATACAAGAGATCTTGTTGTTATAGAGTGAACTTTCATCATTCTAATACATAAACAGAACTGATTATGAGATGGTAGTGAACATATATCATCCCAGACTAGCCCAGAAGTGCAAAGACTGAATCACATTTTCCATGAGACAGTCACCTGGTAAATGTGGGTTCAGCAATGACAGCCTCATGAGTCAACTCACTTGCTACTGTTAAAACACAGACGTAATCAATGGGTAGCATCAAGCATTAGCCATCAAACCTTTATCTTAAAGGGCTTCCCAGGTGGCGCTAGTGGTAAAGAACCTGCTTGCCAATGCAGGAGATGGAAGAGATGTAGGTTCAATCTCTGGGTTGGGAAGACACCCTGGAAGAGGGCATGGCAACCCACTCCAGTACTCTTGCATGGAGAATTCCATGGACAGAGGAGTCTGGTGGGCTACAGTCCATGGGACTGCAAAGATTCAGACATGACTGAAGGGACTTAGCTGCACCCACACACTGTATCTTAAATGATGTCAATCATGGTTTTGATACTGCTAACCTGAATGCCCCCAACAATACAGCTCCTCTTCCAGTTGAGAAACAAACAGTAGTAACAATGTCTGAAAGGAAGCAGCAACTGGCTTGAGTATTCTAAGCAGTCTACAACCCACAGAAACACACCCCAACACACTTACTACTCATTTATGATGATATCAGGGGCCCAGATGGCACTTAGAGGTAGAGAGATCTCCCTAATCTCATCAAACATGCTGGAGTTCCAGGATAAAAACTCATCATCCCAAACCTGCAGCCAAAAAGAAAATGTCACAAAGAGGCAATGTCAGCCCCATCAAAGAACTGAAGAGGAATTTGGATGAGTAACTCAATTGATCAGCCTGTTGCTACTATCTGTTAGGGGAGAGGACTTCTCATCCAACTCCTAAAGATGTTTTCCCTAATGAGAAACAGCAGCCATATATCTTACTCAGATTCTAATAAATCAAGTCTGCTGCAGATGTAAGGAACTATAAAAGGAAAGATAATATCTATTCCTGGGACTTCCCTGGCAATCCAGTGGTTAAGACTTAGAGCTTTCACTACAGGGGGCATGAGTTTGATCCCTGGTCAGGGAAATAAGATCCTACATGCCACATGGTGCAGCAAAAAAAAAGATAATTATCTATTCTTTCAAATAATTACATTTTTCAGCAGATCAATTTCAGGAGTCCAGCATGCATAGAAGGAAAAAAAATAATCATTTACCTCACGATACCATACGCTTGTCTTTAATTTTTGATTCTGTGTATCCTGCAAAGCAAAAATTAAATACACAACAAATCTTATAGAGTCAGTAAATCAAAGCTCAATTCAACAGCATGACAGTTCAGAGGAAGAAAACTGCATCCAAGTAAATAATGCTGACTTTAAAACATTACCTTGACTCTTTAAAATCTGACTATTCCCAGTTATTTATTACATACACCTATCGCTATAAGCTTTACTGTATTATCTATGACAAAATGATACTTTAACTGCACTTGACATGTTAAATGATTTGCTAATCTCTTTCCTACTTTAATAGTTACTCTGCCATTAATCAGACTAAAAGATGATATATAGTCATAGCCAATTCTGGACTAAAAAGGTGAGACAAAACTCTTATCTGTAATTAAGATGTTATTCCTAATCTCTGAATGAGTATTAATATTTCAATTGCCATTGGCAGCCTTTCCTGTTACCTTATGTTTGGATATCTCTGCTTATAAAACAGCCTGAATGAGCTTAATCCAAGTGAGGTATATTTTTTATGATATATATAGATGTGATTCCCCATTCTGCAATGAATCAGCAATTAAAAAAGCAAAGCCCCCCAAAACAAAGAAAAATCCTCTTCATTAAATTTTTTTCATATTGAATCTAGTAAAAAAACAAAAACATGCTATAGTTACTATGTTCTTAGGGATTAAAAGAAAAGGAGTATTTCATACCACATACAAACATTAACTCAAAATGGATCATAAACCTAAACATAAGAGCTAAAACTACAAAACTCTTACAACAAAACATAGGAGGAAATCTTTAAATTAGGCAATAATTTCTTAGATAAGACACCATAAGCACAAGCAACAAAAGAAGAAGTAAGTGGCACTTCATCAAAATTTAAAAATTTTGTGCTTTAAAGTCAAATGACAGGAAGTCAATGACAATCCACAGTGTAGGAGAAAATACTTGCAAATAACATAGCTAGTAAGAGGTTTGTATCTAGAATATATAAAGAACTCTTACAACTCAACAATAAAAAATAAGTAGCCCAAATTTAAAACAAGCATCAAAGAACGTAACATAGTGAGAAGGCAACACATGGAATGTGGGACAATATTTGTGGATTGTGTATCTGGTAAAGGGTTGTTATCCCGAATATTAAAGAGCTTTTACAACTCAAAACCAAAATCCTTATTTAAGAATGGACAAAAGACTTGAACAGACATTTGTCCAAAGTAGATATTCAAATGCTAATAAACACATGAAAATATGCTCAGCATCATGGCTATGGACCAAACTGTGTTCTTCCAAAATTCATATGTGGCTGTATTTGAAGATAGGACTTTTAGGAGATAACTAAGGTAAAATGAGGTTGCAAGGGTGGGCCCTCTTCCAATAGTATTGGTGGCCTTAGAAAAAGAGGAAGAGAGAATGATCTCTCTCTCTCCTCCATATGAAGACACAGTGAGAAGGCAGCCAACTGCAAGCTGGAAAGACAGCTCTTATTAGGAACCAAATTGGCCAGAACTTTGATCTTGAACTTCCCAGAATCCAGAACTGTAGGAAATAAATTTCTGTTGTTTCAGTCACCATGTCTACACTATTTGTTATGGCAGTCAGAGTCAGAGCTGGCTTATATAATCTCTAATCACTAGGGAAATACAAATCAAAACCCATAATGAAATACCATTTCACTCTCATTAGGATGGCTACTTTTTTTTTTAAGCAGAAAATAAGCATTGGTGAGGATAATTGGAATTCTTGTGCACTATTGTTGGGAATGTAAAATGGTGCAGCTGCTATGGAAAACAGTGTGACTGTTCCTAAAAACTTAAAAATAGAACTACTACATGGTCCAGCAATTCCACTCCTTGGCATTTACCCAAGAGAACTGAAAACAAGGACTCGGACATTTGTACACCCATGCTCACAGCAGCATTATTCACAGTAGCTAAGGGGTGGAAGCAACCCAAGTATCCATAAATAGAGGAATGGATGAACAAAATGTGGTGTATATATACAATGCAATATTACTCAGTCTTTAAAAGAAAGGAAGTTCTGACACATGCTACAATATGGATGAAACTTTATGCTAAGTCACAAAGTAAGCCAGTCACAGAAGGACAAGGTGATTCCACTATGCACTAAGTCTAGGTACTTAAACCAGTCAAATTCAGAGAGATAGAGAGTAGAATGATGGTTGCCACGGCTGGGAAATTGGGAGTCAGTGTTTAATGGGTATAGAGTTTCAATTTTGGAAGATGAAGAGTGCTGGAGATGGACAGTGGTGATAATTGCACAATGAGCATGTACTTAATGCCATTGAACTGTACACTTAAAAAAATGGTTAAGATGGTAAATTTTATATTATGTGTATTTTACCACAGCAAAAATACTTTAGGGACTTCGCTAGCAGTCTAGTGATTAAGACTCTGAACTTCCAATGCAGGAGGTATGGGTTTGAATGATCAGGGAACTACGATCCCACATGCTGTGCAGCCAAAAAAAATTGTTTTAATGACTACTCAATATTCTGTAATAACCTAAATGGAAAAAGAATCTGAAAAAGAATAGGTATGTATATGTATAGCTGAATCATTTTGCTATATACCTGAAACTAATACAATATTGTAAATCAACTATAGTCCAATACAAATTAAAAAAAAAAAATGAGCAAAGGACCTGAACAGATATTTCTCCAAAAGAGATAAACAAATGTGGCCAATTAGCACTTGAAAAGATGCTCAACATCATTACTTATTAGGGAAATGCAAATCAAAACCACAATGAGATACCACTCTACCCCACTAGGAGGAATAAAATTACAATAACAACTGTTAGGAAGAATGGTGAAAATTGGAGCCCTCATACATTGTTAGTGGGATTTTAAAATTGTGCAGCCACTGTGCAAAACAGTATGGTAGTTCCTTAAAATGTTAAATATAGAGTTACCATATGACCTAGGAATTCCACTCCTAAGTGAACAATCAAGAGACTTGAAAACAAGTCCATACACTCAAATAAACCTGTACAGAAAAAAAAAGAAAGCAAACCAATACAGGAATGTTCACAGCAGTTAAAAAGTAAAAATAAGCCAACACCCATCAGCTGATGAACGGGTAAACAAAATTAGCATATGTCCATCCAACAGAATATTTTCCAGCACTAAAGAAAGTAATGAAATATGATATATGCTATGATATATGCTATGATATAGATGAACCTTGAAGATATTATGCTAAATGAAAGAATTCAGTCACAAGAGGCCATTTATTGTAAGATACCATTTATATGAAATATCTAGAATAGGCAGATCTATAGAGGCAAAAATTAGATTAGTGTTTGCCTAGGGCTGGTGGGGATGGGATGCAGGATGTGACTGCTAATGGTATGAAGGCTCCTTTTGAAGTGATAAAATGCTCTGAAATTAGATAGTGGTGATGGTTGCACAACTCTGTGAATATACTAAAACCACTGAATTGTATATTTTAAATAGATGAATTTTGTAGTTGGGTTATACATCAATAGAGCTGCCATTTAAAAAAAGGTATTAATAGAGAAAAAGGAAACCATTTTTGAAAACATTTCCAGGGAATGTATAAGTGAGAAGGCTGATACAGACTACAGATAATCCATTTCTTCCCATGGGCTTCCCTGATAGCTCAGTTGGTAAAGAAACTGCCTGCAATGCAGGAGACCCCAATTCGATTCCTGGGTCAGGTAGATCCCCTGGAGACAGGATTCGGTACCCACTCCAGTATTCTTGGACTTCCTTTGTGCTGGGAAAGAAGTTGCCTGCAATGCAGGTGACCTGGGTTTGATCCCTGGGTTGGGAAGATCCCTTGGAGAAGGGAAAGGCTACCCACTCCAGTATTCTGCTGGAGAATTCTATGAACTGTATAGTCCATGGGGTCGCAAAGGATTGGACACAACTAAGCAACTTTTTCACTTTCATAATCCATCATTAGAAGTTGCATCATTTAAAGAGAATAGAGAAAATCCAAGATGAAAATATGTAAAATAAAATGTGAAATGCTCCTCCTGCTGATTTTGGTTCAAAGGTAAAGAGTCATTTAAGTAACCTCTGTACTTCTGTAATATTAAGTATAATACCAATTTCAGTGAAACAATGGAGCTGGGGAGTTATGACATGAAAGCAAATAACAGGTCCATTTTCTTCCCTAGAACAAGATACATTAATTATCCAGTGAATTATGCAACCACATCAAAAATATATGATGTTTGTGCATAGGGTCAATACTACCACTGTCCTCAATCCGGGCTGGGTGGGGCTAGGGGGGTGCTATTGATATTTGCTCTTTGGAGGGGGTGCACCTGGAATTGTGCAGTACTCAGTACTGTACAGGCGTACACAGGGGGGTGGCATAGTTTGAAAGAGAAACAATAAACTTTTAAAGTTCCCCCTTTCTGCAATCAAGAAAGCAAGTTGTTATTGCATAAATATTTCTAGGTACCTTGAGAAAAAAAGGATGGTTCACAGATAGAATAACCGTGTTATAGTTGTTCAACAAAGGCTAGCCT